CCCTTTTCTTCCTATTTCACATTACCTATTATACATTTTAGTCCTTATTTTCACTTTCAGTTTCTCACACCAGAGAAACTATTCGGAGACACACTATGGTTTGAAAGCCAATTCTGCGTATTAGCTGCACAATTTTGGCCATTTCCTTATCTACAAAATGGGTACAATATATCATTTTCTTGTTGCTATGAAGATTGAATGAGATAATTAGATAAAGTTCTTTACCCAGTGTTGGTACAAGAGAACTCAGTAATGGTAGTTATTATTGTTATTATCTGTTCTTATTTACAGCATAACCCTCCCCAAATTATAGACTATTTCCTATTATAAATATAGACAAGGAAATTCTAAATAATGAGTATGAAGCAACTTCAATAACACATGGACATGTGACAGTTTCCCGCCTCTCTGCACTCCCTGATTGCCATTTCTTTTTCTCCTCTACCGAGTCCTGACACCTCCTCCCTTAGTCTCACTCCTTAGTTCAGTTGATGACTTTGCTTTGTACTTTTCTGAGAAGAGACTGGTCTGCCCTGTACTATGCTGCTATGCTCCACTCCCTCTGGGACTCAGGCATGATCCTCTATAGGTAGCCAATTTCCCCACCGTGCACCGCCCCCACCCCTTGCTAAATCAAGCATGTTGCTGTGGAGATGCTGCCTTGCTCTTCTGAAGATCAGGGTTTCCTTCTCTGATGAATCATTCTGTTTAGCATCAAACATGCTACCATTTCTCCCATTAAAAAGAACACTTGCAGGTCATTTACTTCTGTCGTGTCTCTCTCCTTTCTTTTATAGAATGCTCCTTAAAAGGCATGACCATGCACACGCCAGCTTCCTGTTACTATTTCTGGATCCCATTTGAATAGTCCTTTTAATTCCATTGTAATTGCTCTTCTCTGGATCATCAGTGTTCTTCATTCAAATGGATGAATTTGTTAGGGCTGCACTGACAATCTACTGCAGACTGGGTGGCTAAAACAACAGAAGTTTTTTTTTGGTACCGGGATCAAATTCTGGACGTTGCACTTGCGAGACAGGCAGTGGCACTGCTGAGCCAAATCCCTGGCCCCAACAGAAGTTTATTTTCTCCCAGTTCTAGAAGCTAGTTTCACAGTTGAGAGCTATGCTCCCCCTGCAGGTGCTAGGGAAGGGTCTGTTCAGGCCTTGCTTGGCTTAAGGCAACAATCCTAATGCCAGTCTTCACATGGCATTCTCCCTGTGTGTTCACTGCTCTCTGTAGAGATATTTCCCTTTTTATAGGGACACTAGTTGTGTTGTATTAGGGCCCACCCTACTGACCTAATTTCAACTCGATATTTATTAAAACCCTATCTCCAAATGAGATCATATTCTGGGGGTGAGGACTCCAATATATCCTTTTGGGGGACACAGGTTCAGTCCCTAATGTTCCATATTGCTAGCCCCAGCAGTCACTTCTCAGTTGTCCTCTTAAGCACACTGTAACCAGCATTTTGACATAGGTGGGCAACTCTCTTTCCTTGAAAAGTTTTCATTTCACTTCCAAGGCACTGTCTTTACCACTTTTTCCCCTGAATCCCTAGTCTTTTTATCTCAGACTATTTGTTAATTCATCATCCCTGATGATATACCTCTCTCAATTCTTGGACTTTTCAAAAAATTTTATTTTTTTTAATTTTTGGTACCAGGGATCAAACTTGGGACCTTGCATTTACAAGACAGGTGGTGGAACCACTGAGCTAAATCCCCGGCCTTCTTGGAATTTTTTTTTTTTTTTTGTATCTGCCTTCACTTCCTACATGATCCTTCTCAGTTATTGGTTATCAGTGTGTACCAATGAGCTGTGATTATCAGATTTTTAAAAATACTTATTCAATAGTACATGTTTGTACTACATGTGTGTGGTATGTAATGAATACATTCATTGTGGGGAGCAGGTGCGTGTACACGACACATCTCAATTCTCTTTACTCCCTCCTACATCTCTTAGTCCCCTTCCCATTTATAAAAGTTCTATCTCCCCATTTCCTGTTGTCTGTCTTTTATTTTGCTCTTTGATTTATTTATACTTTGGGTTTCTCATATAGGGGAAACAGTACAATATTTAACCTTGTGTGTCTGATTTATTTTACTTAATATTATAGACTCAAGGTGCATCCATTTCCCTACAAATTTATCCTTTTCTATTTATCCTTTTCTGTGAGCAGAGTAGTACTACATTATGTATAAATACCACATTTTCTTCATGCATTCATCTGTTGGTAAGTATATAAGCTGCTTCCAAGATTTAGCTATTATGAATTGTGCTTCTATAAACATGAATATGCATGTAATATAATGGCTTTAACTCTTTCAGGAAGATACCCAGAAAGGGAATATCTGTGTTAAATGGGATTTCTAGCTTTAATTTTTTGAGGAATCTCCACACTGATTTCCATTGTGGTTGTACCAGTTTGCATTCCCACCAACAATGTAGAAGGGTTCCTTTTTCCCCACAGCCTCACCAGCATTTGTTGTTATTTGATTTCCTGATGATAGCCATTTTTTCTGGAATAAGATGGATTGTCATTTCACTCTGCTGGTCTCAAACCACATTCTCGACCTTTGTCCTGTTTCTCTTCTTCATCTTGGTTAATACTGACTCCTTTGCATTTATCTAGTGACTGTGATGTTGAACAATTTTTAATGTATTGGCCATTTGTACTTCCTCTGTGAAGTGTCTATTCATTTCAGTCACCCATTTTTTGATTGGGTCTTTTATTTTGAGGAATCTAATTTTTTAGTTCTTTATATATTCTTGATGTCTGTGGAATAGCTGGCAAAAATTTTTTCACATTCTGTAGATTGTCTCTTTACTCTTTTGGTTTCAAATCACATTCTTGACCTTCATCTTGTTTCTCTCTTTCTTCCTCATCTTTGTTAATACTAACATTGATCCAGTT